TCCCAGAGTCCTGGGATTGAGCCCCGCATCAGGCTCCCTGCTCAGCGGGGTTCTGCTTCTCCCTCTCCCTCTGCCTGTCGCTCCCCCAGCTTGTGCTCGCTCTCTCTCTCTCAAATAAATAAAATCTTCAAAAAAAAAAATACTATATTGTCTATTTGAAACTTGCTAAGAGAGCGAATCTTAAAAGTTCTTATCGCAAGAGGCAAATCTGTAACCATGTGTGGTGACGGATGGAAACAGAACTTATTGGGGCAACCACTTCACTACACATCTACCAAATCATGTTGTACATCTTACACTGATATGATGTTATATGCCAAGTGTATCTCAATAAAACTGGAAAAAAAATGAAATGAATATATGATAAAGTGAGAAAATAAAGAATGAGATATTAAGCTTCCACTTAGCCACCATCCAGTTTCAGAACTACAGCCTCACCAGTATAGCTAAAGCCCGCTGGACACTTCTGTCCCCCATCTCACTTCGCATCCTCCTACTCCACGGTAACCAGTACAGCACATTTCAGATTTTGTGTGTATCATTATACATGTGTCTTTATAGATTTGTGAGCGATGTCTGCTATCCTTAAGCAACATCGACTATTATTTTGCGTATTTTAAAACTTCACATAAATAAATGGTATCATCCAATACATATTCACCAGCAGCTCGTTTTGTTTTACTCCCCATTGGTTTATTTAATTTTATTTTTTAAAGACTTCATTTTTAAGTAATCTCTGCACCCAACATGGGGCTCGAACCCACAACCCGAGACCAAGAGTCACACACTCTGCCGACTGAGCAAGCCATGTGCTCCAACATTGTTTGTACTGACACATGTAGCTTTGGTTCAGTCATTTTAACTGTTGTACATTTTTCATTACATGGATAGTTGTATTTTTACCAATTCTTGGCTATTACAAAGAAAAACCTCCACTCCTCCCCCCACTCATGTGCGATCTCTCTCTCTATCCGTATCTCTATCTCTAAAATAAATAAATAAAATCTTAAAAAAAAAAAAAACCTAAAACACATTTCACAAACCAGTACTTACTCTATGTGTGATGTGCTCTGGAATTTTTTTTTAAGTTTTATTTATTTAAATAATCTCTACACCCAATGTGGGGCTCGAACTCACAACCCCAAGATCAGAGAGTCACATACTCTTCTGACTGAGCCAGCCAGGCACCCCTGGATTTTCTATTCTTTTATTTCATTTTTATAACGCTGGTCTCCATTAACTAGAATGAGTTCCTAAGGCATTAACGGATCACAACCCATAGTTTGAAGAGCAGTGGTATAGCAAGAACAGTCACTGGGCCTTTAGGAACCAAGCACCTTGACCAAGGTCACATGGTGAATTGAAGGCAGAGTTGGAACTAGAACCCAGATCTCCTGGGTCCCATGCTACACAGCTCCCACCTGCCTCTGGAACATTCTGGCTCCTCTCCTCTGCTTCCTACCCCATTCTGCCCCCTCCCACCCCCGGCTGCTCTGGCCAGATCCAACAACCAATATACAACCCCGGATCCCTTACTCCAGGCCTGCTTCATGGTTGATGGATGGGCTTCGTGGCTGATGGATGGGCCAAATTTTTCTTGAGCTCCAGCCCCAAAGACTGCCTGCTGAGAAATCCTGATCAGCCCAAAGCTCCTAGGCTAGCCTTTGGTAAACATTGGCATAGATGACTCCCTCATCAAGGGTCTTTTGTAGGCTGAAGAGTCTGAGTATTAACATCATTTATATTTCAGGTTGTCCTAATGAATTTCTATTTTATTTATTTTTTTGAAGATTAAAAAAAAAATTTAAACCAATCTCTACACCCAATGTGAGGCTTGAATTCACAACCCCAAGATCAAGAGTCTCATGCTCTACTGACTGAGCCAGGCAGGCGTCCCGTGAATCTATTTTATATTCACTTATTCAGAACAGCAGTGCTGGGGCGCCTGGGTGGCTCAGTCAGTTAAGCATCTGACTCTTTTTTCTAAAATTTTAATTCAATTAATTAACATATAGCATATTATTAGTTTCAGAGGTAGAGTTCAGTGATTCGTCAGTCTTGTATAATACCCAGTGCTCGTTACATTACGTGGCCTCCTTAATGTCCATCACCCAACTCTTGATTTCAGCTCAGGTCATGATTTCGTGGTCGTGGGATCGAGCCCTGGGTCGGTCTCCCTGCTCAGTGGGGAGTCTGCTTGAGATTCTCTTTCTCCCTCTACCCCTCCCCAACTCATGTGTGTCCTCTCTCTAAAATAAATAAATAAATAACAAATAAATAAATAAATATTTTTAAAAACACCCCCCACACACACAAAACAGGAGTGCTGAAATGGGCACAGAAAGCAGCTAAGCATTGAGCTATATGTTTGACAAAAATTTTTTATGATCTTCCTGACAGCCCTGCTGGATGGGTGTTAGCCCCATTTCGCAAATGAGGTACTGAAGGTCCCTGATCTTAATTAACTTGTCTACAGTCATATATCTAAGTGGTAGAACTTGGATTTGAACTTGGGCTTCTAGCCCAATATTTTCCTACCATGACATTTCCTACAAGCATCTGTCACTTTAGCCATCCCTGCTTATTTACAGGTCCCTTAGGAACTGGACGCCATATCCCTTTCAAGTAATCAAGACCAAATACATAGTTTGTGGGGGCCCCTTCTTCAAAATTATTAAGAATTTCAAGACATTGACAGCCCCCGCTGGTTCCTCAAGGTGTCTTGTCGTAGTACAGACCATGTCGTATTATTCTTGCTTCTCGCCTAACATCCCCCGACACACACACGCACGCACGCACACACACACACACACACACACACACCCCAGGCAGAGAGTTCCATGAAGGTAGGGGGTTTGTTTTTCAGCTCTGCATTCCCAGAACTTGACATTGGGCCAGACACCCAGCAGGTGCTCAGAGTTTTGTGGAATGAGCTAAAGAGAACCCAAAATCATAAGGAGGAACAGTAAACTTCAGGCTGAAGGCAGGCAGACTATTGGGGGGACCTAATCAGGCAGGTAAAGACAGCGAAAGGGAGGAATGAGGAAGAGGCGCCATCGGGGAGTGGAATGCGGTGTCTGAATGGGGGTGTGTGGGACTGGTGAGGACCACAGCTGGACTAAGCAGGAGGAGAAGTACTGTCCACAAAGCTCTGACGAAAACCAGGCCTTCTGGAGCAGAAGGCCTCCAAGCCTCCGAGAACTGATTTGGGATCAGGATTCCATAGTGCAACCTACACACGTGCTCTTCCTGGGGAGTCCAGGGATGGGTTGTGACAGGCCAAGGAAGCCTCATTGCTTCTTCAAGGCCCTCTCCCCGCCCCTCCACTCTGGCCTTAGAAAGGAGGAAAGGACCAGACTGTGTCTTACAGTAGATCGATGGTATCTTCCTGCAAGAAGTTAACCAAACTGCCCCTTGCGGAAAGTGGGAGTCCTTTGGTAGTGACGGTCCTGTTCATAGACTTGGGGTTTGGAAAGGGCTTCGACATTTGATCGAGTGCATTCAGAACGTTGAGGCTTTCCTTCTGCAGCATGGCCTCCTCCCCATCTCCCACTTTACATAGTGTCTCTGATGCCATCTCGTTTGTTTGGGACCACAGCCGTCACTACGCAGCTGACAGGAAGCAGAGAGAAACTGGGGGCAGTGGACCCACCCTTAGTTAGCGTGGGATGGGGGTGCAATGGGCTGACTTCATAATCATCACTGAGTGTAACAATTAGGGACCAGCCTCCCCCTTGATCTGAAGCTGCTGCTACCCAGGGCCAATGGCAGGAGTGGGGTACAAGGCACAGACTACATCACCCGTTGGGCCCCTTCCAGTTCTAATGCTCTGTGGTTACAACAGCCCTGCCTCTCTCTGAAGATCTCAAAATGCTTACCACCTGTTCCTTTCGGAGCTGCTCTGGGAAGGAGGAGCAGGGTGGTGAGAGAAGGCTCCTGGGTGCGATGGGAGGTGGCAGGGTCCCTGGGAAACAAGCGGGACTGAAATGAGTCTCTGGGAATGGGGGACTTTGTCTCTAGGATGCTGAGGCTCTATACCCAGAAATCCTAGGCAGCAAATCCCCACTATGTCGGTAGGCACAGGGAAAGTCCAGATGGCTCATGGGGCTCACAGCCCACATACAGCCAGGTTTTACGGCTAGAACTCTAAATGTGCCACATCCTCACCACAAGTGTCTTCATGTGTTGAGTGACAATGGTGGGTGCCACAGAGGAATACAAATATGGGCCAGACATTTTTCTGTTCACAAGGAAACCACCTTACCAGAGGAAAACCTACACACAACTTGGACAGGAGGAAGAGAGGCTATTGAAACAGAACTGGCTTTGCACTCAGATGTGGATTTGTCCGGCTCTGCACCTACAGGTTGTGTAACCTCTGGCAAGTGACTTCACCTGGCCAAGCCTCAGTTTTCGCCTCTGTGAAATGGGGACAAAACCAGCACCGGTCTCACTAGATTGTGAGGAGGTATCCCTGTAAAGTTGTGCTATGTCTTCCAGAGGACGAGGCAAAGCAAAGGGACATCTAAAAATGCCAAATCATATTTTTTATGTTCCACATCAGCAGGGCTTTGTTGTCGCTATTCATCAAAAAAAATAATGGTTTTTTTTCCTTCAAAAATAGAGACGCAGATGCCCTCTCTGCGCTCTGCTGCTTCTTAACACCTGCCATCCAAACTGTAATTACCCGGTATCTTTGATTCCTCTTCGCTATCCTCGTCACTAACGGGTAGGCGCCTGAGCTCACCGACGCTCCGTCTGGTCGAACTCCGCCGCCCAGCGTCTAGAACAGAAGCGGGCGCAGCACGGTCTCCGCGCGCGCCCGGGGAGGCGGGTGGAGGCGGGTGCGCGCGCCGCGTGCCGGCCGTGGTGGGCCGGGAGCCGAGCGCTGGGGGCGCCCGCCCGGAAGGGCGCGGGGGCGTGGCGTGGCTCCGGCCCGCGCGCGGCTCCGCCCCAACCTCCCTGTCGCCGCGCGGCCAGCAGATGGCGCTGCAGGCCCGTCCCTGGCGCCGGGAAGGCGGAAGCGCGGCGAGGCGCGAGCGGCTGGGCAGCGGCGCAGGCACCCGGCGGGGCCACGCTCTCCGCGCCGCCGCCTGCGTCCCCTCCGGAAAGGGGCGCCGCCGGGCGTGAGCCGAGAGCCTGGCGGATGCCCGCGGGATGAGCAGTCCCGAGGCCGGCGCCCCCGCGGCTCCCAGGGAACATGGGCGTGCTCAGGGCCGGGCTGTGCCCGGGCCTCACCCACGACATGGTCGGGCAACTGAGGAGCCGCGGGATCAAGACAGGTGACCGCGTGCGCGCCACCCAGCTGGGCACAGCGCGGACTCGGCGCCCCCCGCGCCGGCGGACCCCGGAGGGGCCGTCCCCTCCGCGCTGTAGAGGCTCGGGAAGGCGGGAGTGGGGCCCGCCGAGCCCCGCGGGGAGGGCAGAACCCCTACCGGGTGCCGGGCGCCATGGCGCCTCGCCAGGCCTTGCGGCTCTGTGCTTTTACCTGGCCCCCTGAGACTGCCTGCCCCGAGGTAGAAGCGTCACCCCGCTTTAGGTAGAGGAGGAGCCAAGCGTGGAAAGCCCGGGCCTCCCTTCCTACTAATCAACCACGTGGGTTTTGTTTTCAGTGGTGGACCTGGTTTCCGCAGACCTGGAGGACGTGGCCCAGAAATGTGGCTTGTCTTACAAGGTGAGCCGCCCATCTCCACGCTCCAAACCTGGGTGAGTCTAAATGCTCACCTCTGAGCCAAAGGAGCAGAGGGTTCCCAGAGGTTGATAAGTAGGGTGGGGGGAACGTATGAGACCCTGGGATGCCCCCTCCTCTGGCCGTATATTGCTGAGTACTCTGGGCTGCTTTGGGTTGAAGCATCCCCGGCCCCACCCTGAGTTGCCCCTGCCCCTTCCGCAGGCCCTGGTTGCCCTGAGAAGGGTGCTGCTGGCCCAGTTCTCAGCTTTCCCCTGCAATGGCGCTGATCTGTACGAGGAACTAAAGACTTCCACTGCCATCCTGTCCACTGGCATCGGAAGGTTTGTATGTGTGCTTGGGGAGGACGGTGACAGGCTAGAGGACAGGACTGGCTCCAGGACTGGCTCTCAGGCCTCTTACGCCTGAATCTAGAGAGAACGGGGTTTTTCAAGTAGTGATGGGGGCAACATGGACAGATGGTCAGGACTTCTGAGTTCTCTCACCCTATAACAGGGTTTCTCGACTTCACACTTTGAACATTTTGGGATTTGTAATTTTTTGGGGGGGGGCGCTCTGTCCTGTGCGTTATAGGGTTTTTGGCAGCATCCCTGGCCTGTGTTCACTAGATACCAGTTGTACCTCCATTCTCCCCATGTTGTGACAATCAAAAATGTCTGGAGAGATGTTGCCAGAAGACCCCAAGGGGGGCAAAATTGCTTCTGGTGGAAAAGCACTATCCTATAACAGGAAATGTCAGTATTTCATTATTATTAGATGAGAACAACTCTGCTCTGGCCCTGCTTCCCACTCTACCTCAGGACAGGGCGAGAGAACGTGGTAGGACTGACACTCACCGAGTGCCCCCTGGGTCCCGGCCACTGACATTAAGTTATGTAATCTCTTCAGTGACCCTGCGCGTTAGTGATTACTAACCAAACTTGAGTTTAGCCCAAGAGGAGGGAGGGGTGAGGAGTGGGGGGAGCAGCCCTGGGATACTTGATCAGAACCGGGTGTGTTCCCCATACCACCAGCAAGGTCTCTGGATTGGTTTGGCCATTGCTGTTTCCCTGACACGTTCTCTTAGCAAGGTTCGCACAGCATGGGGCTTGCTCCTCCCGGGTGGGGGTCCGCGGCTGTTGGCCATCAAGCACCCACTCTATGCCTACCACGTGCCAGGTATGTGCAGATGATGGGTGTACGAGTCTGGCACGGCTCCTACGCTTTATGAGTGTGGGGCCTAGTGGGTAGATAGAAGAGCTGGTCAGTGGGAGAAAAGTGGAAGCATGTGTGGAGGCAGCAGAAGGAGGGACTGATTAACCCGAACCAGCCCTGGGGCTTCAGCTGCTTATGAAACCAACATAGGCAGAGGAAGTGCTTAGGGAGCAGTCTAGTGATAAATGGACAGGATTGTGGCCGCAGTGGGTTGTTGCAAGGGAGATCAGAGTGGTTCCAGAAAGCCCTGTGGAGGGGGCAAGCCTTCTATGAGTGCCTGCGGAGAGCCCGGCACCAGTCTTGCACATGATTTCATTTTTTCTCCACCACCACCAATGAGTGCGTTACAGTTAAACTCAACCATTGGAGAGATGAGGAAACTGGGGCTTAGTTTAAGTGGCTCGCTTAAGTTCGCTCAGCTAGTAAGTAGGAACACCAGGAGCTTGGGGTCACATCCATCATGCTCCTCACTCTGACTCCCCAGCCCTGGTGCCTCCCTCGCAGTGGGAGACCGTAATGCGAAAGGGAGCTGTCGGCACAGGGCAGAGGTGTGCGGGGTGGACAGGACTGGGGAGGCTTGCAGGAGAGAGGCCGAGAGAGACAGCGGTGGTGGGGTGCGTGAGTCCAATCCAGGGCAGGTGACAGCAGAGACGTGTTGAAAGGAGGTACGACAGGCCTTGCTTCCTGGTGGGATGTAGGCGTGAAGAGTCAGATCAGGCGCTAGGTTTCTAGTCCTGCTCACAGTGTTCTGTGGACACTGGACGGATGTAACTTTTAAAAGGGAGGTAGAGAGTAGTCAGACAATTGGGAAATGCTTCGTTCACCCAAAGTAAATGCTTTTTTTTTAAGATTTTATTTTATTTTTTTATTTTTATTTTTTTAAGATTTTATTTATTTATTTGACAGAGAGAGACAAAGAGAGAGGGAACACAAGCAGGGGGGGTGGGAGAGGGAGAAGCAGGCTTCCTGCGGAGCAGGGAGCCCAATGCGGGGCTCGATCCCAGGACCCTGGGACCATGACCTGAGCCGAAGGCAGATGCTTAACGACTGAGCCACCCAGGCGCCCAAGATTTTATTTATTTATTTGACAGAGAGAGGCACAGCAAGAGAGGGAACACAAGCAGGGGGAGCGAGAGAGGGAGAAGCAGGCTTCCTGCCAAGCAGAGAGCCCGATGAGGGGCTCGATCCCAGGACCCTGAGATCATGACCTGAGCCGAAGGCAGACGCTTAACGACTGAGCCACCCAGGTGCCCCGTCAACGCGTTTTTTAAAAGCTGTGGGCCATCTCAGAGCCTGATGTGCACTGTGAGTCTTTACAAGGACACCAGAGCATGAAGTGTACGTTGCAAGAAGTTGTATCGACTGGGGGAGATAAGTGGTTCCTTGAAGGCCAGAGCTATATCTCGTTCATCTCCGTATCTCCCTCATTTTATTTACTTTTTTGAACGTGTTTCTTTTTTTTTTAAAGATTTTATTTATTTATTTGACAGAGAGCAAGAGCAGGGGGAGCGGCAGGCAGAGGGAGAAGCAGGCTCCCCGCTGAGCATGGAGCCCGACCCGGGGCTCCATCCAGGACCCTGGGATCATGACCTGAGCCGAAGGCAGACCCTTAACCGACTGAGCCAGGCACTCCTGTATCTCCCTCATTTTAGAGTAAGGCCATCAGGAAATGTGAGGTATGTAGGCCATGTTGGAATGAATGGCCGGAAAAAAAAAAAAAAAAAAAGCTAATTCCAAGGGAAAGGTGGAGGATAAGTCCCAGAAATCAGTTGTATTCAGAACAGGTGGTAAGGCCCAGATGTGGTTTTGCTGCACAAGGCAGGCGGGGGGAGGTCTCTCTCCACTGAGTTAGAGGTGAGTGGGAGGAGGGTCCTCTGGGCGGTAGGAGAGGTGAAATAGGAATACAGGTGAGAAGTCGGTTGAGAGGCAGATTTGGGAATTCCTTCTACAATGTCCTCACAGCCAAGAATGAGGTCGATTCTGGTCTGGAGCGTCAACACCAGTGGGTTAGGCCAGGCTACACATTAGAATCATCTGGAAGGTTAAGAAATATTTATGCCTGGGTCCTACCTTTAGAAATTCTGACTTTATTGCTCTAGGCCGGTGGGTCCCAAACTTGTCCACACAGTAGAATCACTTGGGGAGGGCTGTCTGCCTGGCTCAGTTGGTGGAGTGTGTGACTCTTGATCTTGTGGCTGTGAGTTTAAGCCCCACGCTGGGTGTAGAGATTACTTAAAAATAAAATCTTAGGGGCGCCTGGGTGACTCAGTCAGTTAAGTGTCTGCCTTCAGCTCAGGTCATGATCCTGAGGTCCTGGGATTGAGTCCTGAGTCAGGCTCCCTCCTCAGCGGGAAGTCTGCCCCTCCCCCCCAATAAATAAATGAAATCTCATGGGGCGCCTGGGTGGCTCCGTCGTTAAGCATCTGCCTTCGGCTCAGGTCATGATCCCAGGGTCCTGGGATCGAGCCCCGCATCGGGCTCCCTGCTCCGCGGGAAGCCTGCTTCTCCCTCTCCCGCTCCCCCTGCTTGTGTTCCCTCTCTCGCTGTGTCTCTCGCTGTCAAATAAATAAATAAAATCTTTAAAAAAAAAAAAATGAAATCTTAAAAAAAAAAAGAATCACTTGGGGAATCTTTAAACATTCCCGAAAGTCACGCCTCCTGCAGACCAATTAAATCACATTCTCTGGGGCGCCTGGGTGGCTCAGTTGGTTAAGCGACTGCCTTCGGCTCAGGTCATGATCCTGGAGTCCCTGGATCGAGTCCCGCATCGGGCTCCCTGCTCGGCAGGGAGTCTGCTTCTCCCTCTGACCCTCCTCCCTCTCATGCTCTCTGTCTCTCATTCTCTCTCTCACAAAAAAAAAAAAAAAAAAAGTTTAAAAAAAAAAAATCACATTCTCTGGGGATGGGACACAGGGATCAGTAGTGTTTGAACTTCCCAGGTGACTCCGATGTGCAGACAAGTTTGGGAACTGCTAATACAGGCCTCTTTTTCAAAACTCTGGTGATTTTAATATGCAGGCAGGATTGAGAATCACTAGTCTAGCCTAGTGGTTTTCAAACGTGAGCATGCATCCAGATCGCCTAGAGGCCTTGTTGAAACTCAGATCCATTCTCCAGTTTCTGATGCAGCGGGTGCGGGCTGGGGCCTGAGAGAGTTCATTTCACACCACTTCCCAGTGATGCTGCTGCTGGTCTGGGGACCACACCAGGAGAACCACTGCCGTGATGGAGCTATTGTCTGATCCCAATGGGAGAAGCCACAGGGCTGGAGTGGTGACCAGAGCGTTTTGACTGGCAGGGTCCTGTGCTTATAATCATGGGGTCCTTGGAATTGGAATCAATGGGGTTTTTTCTAAGGTGCTGCTTGGCACACACAGAAGGGTCATGGGAGAGACCATTTTGTGAACCATTTCAGAATACTGGGCCCCGTGAAGGTGTTTGCAGAGCTGGAAAAGGATGCGTGAGGTCAGGACACAGAGTCATTGGTATGGGCTGTGGTTCAGGCCACAGGTTGGGCAGGGAGTGCAGTGTGGTTAGTGACCTGTTTCATGGTTCAAGGACAGAACATGGATCAGGAATTGGCTATATCTTGAGTTTACCTGAAGGCTTCCACAGCCAGAGTGTTGACAATGTAGTAACTAAATACTACTGTTCTACCACTTGTTTTTCTGGCAACATTTATTGTGTGTCTCCTCTGTTTCCAGCACTGTGCCAGTGTCCTTGCCCCTGGGTGCTCTGGGCCAAATGGGGATGAGAGACAAAAACAAGCACATAGAAAATAATCACCAACTCCCAGAACTAAGTGAATTCAGCAAGGCCGCAGGATACAAGATTAGCACATAAAAATCAATTGCGTTTCTATATACTCAAAATGAACATGTGGAAATGGAAATTAAGACGTAATACCATTTACAGTTGCTCCAAAGAAAATGAAATACTTACGTCTACATCTAACAGAGCAGGTATAGGAGTTGTATGCTGAAAATTAAAACTTGCTGATGAAAGAAATCAAGAGGACCCAAATAAATGGAGAGACACGCTGTATTCATGGATTGGGAGACTCAGCATAGTAAAGATGTCAATTCTCCCTAAATTGCCCTATAAACTTAATTCAGTTCCTACCAAAATCCCAGCATATTTTTTTTTGTAAAAATAAAGCTTATTCTAATAATTACATGGACAAGCCAATGACTTTGAATTGCTAAAACTTTTTTTTTTAAGATTTTATTTATTTATTTGACAGAGAGACAGCGAGAGAGGGAACACAAGCAGGGGGAGTGGGAGAGGGAGAAGCAGGCTTCCCGCCAAGCAGGGAGCCCAATGCGGGGCTCGATCCCAGGACCTTGGGATCATGACCCTAGCCGAAGGCAGACACCCAACCAACTGAGCCACCCAGGCGCCCCTGGATTATTTTTAAAGATTTTAAGTAATCTCTACACCTAATGTGGGGCTCAAACTCACAACCTTGAGATCGACTTCCATGCTCTTCCGGCTGATCCAGGCAGGCACCCTAACACTGTCAAGCTTTTAGAACAAAACGGAGGAGAAAATCTTTGAGAACTAGGGCTAGGCAAAGGGTTCTTAGACTTGACACCAAAAGTGTGATCAATAAAAGAAAGATAAAATTTTTAATCAAAAAAATAAAATAATGAATTCAGAATTAAAACTTTTGCTCTGCAGAAGAGAAAAAGACAAGCTGTAGAGTGGGGAAAATATTTGCAAGCCTCATATTCAACAAAGGACTTGCATCTAGAATATATAAAGAATTCTTAAGAGGCGCTTGGATGGCTCAGTCAGTGAAGCTTCTGACTTCGGCTCCGGTTGTGATTTCAGGGTTCCGGGATCGAGCCCTGGGTCAGGCTCCCTGCTCAGAGGGGAGTCGGCTTGTTCCTCTCTCTCTGCTCCTCCCCCCACTCATGCTGTCTCTCTGAAATAAATAAAATCTTTAAAAAAAAAAAATTCTTTTTCTTTAAATAAAAGATTTTATTTATTTATTTGACAGAGAGAGACACAGCGAGAGAGGGAACACAAGCAGGGGGAGTGGGAGAGGGAGAAGCAGGCTTCTCGCTGAGCAGGGAGCCTGATGCGGGGCTCGATCCCAGGACCCTGGGATCATGACCTGAGCCGAAGGCAGATGCTTAACGACTGAGCCACCTAGGCGCCCCCGCCCCCCAAAAAATTCTTAAAACTCCTCTAACAGTGAAACAATCCAGTTAGTAAATGGACAATAGACACGAACAGATATTTTACCAAGGAGAACATACAGATGTCAAGTAATCACACGCAAAAATGTCAAACATCATTAGTTCTTAAGGAAATGCAAATTAAAACCACAATGAGGGGCACCTGGGTGGCTCAGTCTGTTGAGCTTCTGCCTCTTGATTTCAGCTCAGGTCATGATCTCAGGGTTGTGGGATCAAGCCCCATGTCTGTTTGCCCCTCTCCCTCCCCTTTAAATAAAATCTTAAAAAAAAAAAACAACCCACAATGAGATATATCACTACATACCTACCAGAATGGCCATACCAAAAAATGGTGACAAGACCAAATGCTGGTAAGGATGTTGAGAAACTGGATTACTCATACATTGCTAGTGGGATAGTAACATGGCATAGCCACTCGGGAAAGTAGTTTATTGTTTCTTATAAAATTAACATGTGCTGCAGCCATCAAAAAAAAATGGAATCTTGCCATTTGCAATGACGTGGCTGGAACTAGAGGGTATGATGCTAAGCGAAATAAATCAATCAGAGAAAGACAAGTATCATATGATCTCACTGATATGAGGAATTTAAGAAACAAGGCAGAGGAGCATAGGGGAAGGGAGGAAAAAATGAAACAAGAAGAAACCAGAGAGGGAGACAAACCATAAGAGACTCTTAATCATAGGAAACAAACTGAGGGTTGCCGGAGGGGAGGGGGTGGGGGATGGGGTGGCTGGGTGATGGACATTGGGGAGAATATATGTTGTAATGAGCACTGGGTGTTATATGCAACTGATGAATCACAGACCTGTATCCCTGAGACAAATATTACATTATATGTTAATTGAATTTAAATTTTTAAAAAGAAACAAAAATTGACATGTGCTTACCATACAACAGTTGTGTTCTTTTTTTTTTTTTTTAAGAGATGGGGTAGAGGGGCAGAGGGAGAGAGAATCTTAAGTAGGCTCCATACCCAGCATGGAGCCCCATGCCGGGCTCAATCTCACAACCCTGAGATCATGACCTGAGCCAAAATCAAGAGTTGGACACTTAACTGACTGAGCCACCCAGGCACCCCTTTAATATTTTTTTTTTAATTTAATTTAATTTATTTATTTTTTTGGAAAGATTTTATTTATTTATTTGACAGCGAGAGAGGGAACACAAGCAGGGGGAGTGGGAGAGGGAGAAGTGGGCTTCCCGCAGAGCAGGGAGCCCGATGCAGGGCTCCATGCATGCAGGGCTCCATGCATGCAGGGCTCCATGCATGTGGGGCTTGGTCCCAGGACCCTGGGATCATGACCTGAGCCGAAGGCAGACACTTAATGACTGAGCCACCCAGGCGTCCCTAATATTTTTAAGTAATCTCTACACCCAGCGCGGGGCTCGAACTTCCAACCCTGAGATAGAGAGTCCCATGCTCCACTGACTGAGCCAGCCAGGCGTCCCCTGGCAGTTATATTCTTAGGCATTTATTCCAGAGAAAGAAAAACAGGTTTACACAAAAACCTGTACACAGATGATCATAGCCATTTGATTCACAATTGCCCCAACCTGGAAACAGACTTCAGTGGGTGAATGGTTAAACAAACTTGGTGCATCCATACCATGGGCTACTTCTCAGCAATAAAAAGCAACAGCTACAACAACTTGGACAGATCTCAAGGGAATGATGCTGAGTGAAAGAAGCCAGCCACAACGGCTACGTACAGTGTGATTCCTTGTATGTAACATTTTTGAAATAACATCATACCAGAGATGGAGAACAGTTGGTGGTTGCCAGGGATTCGGGGTGGGATGGAGGGGTGTGGCTATAACGGTGACGCAAGGGAGACTTATAGTGATGGAAATATTCTGTATCTTGCTTTTGGTGGTTGCATAAACCTACACGGGTGATAAGTTTGCATAGAACTATACACACACACGGAACGCCGGGGAAATCTGGATAAGCTCTGTAGACTGCACCGCGGTTGGCTTGCGATGTCATACAGTACGAGAGGCCACCATTAGGGGAAGTGAGGGGAAGGGTACATGGGACCGTCCTGTATAATCTTTTTTTTTTTTTTTGCAATTTCCTATGAATCTATAATTATTTCAAAGTTTAAAAAATGATGGGCGTGCCTGGGTGGCTCAGTAAGTTAAGTGTCTGCCTTTGGCTCGGGTCATGATCCCTGGGTCCTGGGATCGAGCCCCACATATTGCGCTCCCTGCTCATTGGGAAGCCTGCTTCTCCCTCTCCCCGCCCCCCACTCTTGCTCTCTCTCGCTATCTCTCTCAAATAAATTAAAATCTTAAATAAATAAATAAATAAATAATGACAAATTATGGGAAATGCTACCAAGGAAACCCATAGGGGATTAAGGTTGAGAATGGAAGGAGGACTCTTTGCTGGGGTGCAGAGACCTCTGTGGAGAGCAGAGTGATCTTCAGGCTGGGAGTGAACAGACGAGGAGGGGCCCAAGGAGGAGCTTGTAGCCGTGCCCTCTTTCCCTAGAGATGTTCAGACCATCTCTGGACAGAAGCAGTGCTGGGAAGGAATGTCTTGCTTTTCTTCTTAGTTCCTACTCCCCTCTGTTCCCACCAGTCTGCTGGGTTGATTCTCTTCCTTCCTCTTCTTTCATCAGCTTGGACAAACTGCTTGATGCTGGTCTCTACACTGGAGAAGTGACTGAGATTGTAGGAGGCCCAGGTAGTGGCAAAACCCAGGTACATGGGCGGCTGGCAGCCAGGAGGACGTGACGGGTGGTGGGTGGGGAGGAAGTGGGAAGGTGGGTGCATAGCTCTGGATCCCTGGGGAGCTTCTGCCAACATACTTGTGATTCAGGGAGATGGGTGGTGAGAAGTGGGGCTTGAATATGGCCCATTCATGTCACTGGGATCTGGACAGGATTTGGTGGGGGCTCCCATTCTGGGCCCTCTTTGGGAGCTCAAGTTCTCCCAATGCCTTGTCTCCTCAGGTATGTCTTTGTGTGGCTGCAAATGTGGCCTATGACCTGCAGCAGAACGTTGTATACATTGATTCCAGCGGAGGACTGACAGCCTCCCGCATCCTCCAGCTCCTTCAGGCCAGAACCCCAGAAGAGGAGGAGCAGGTAAGGGGCAGGAGGCTTGAGTTCCTTTGAGGTTCTGACACAGAAAGACCCCATTATCCCTTATATTGCAAGAATTTTGACCATTTGGATGAACAGTCATTTCTGGCTTTGAAACGTGCTGTTCTATTAATTCTCCTGTGTTCTTCAGTTCTTCCTGTTATGACATTATCCCAGCTTGGATGCTACCCCCACTGATCTCCCAGGTGACCCAGCTCCTTGTACACCCTAACTCAGGGCTGGCAGGCACGCAGCATCTGTGTTTCCTTCCCATTACTTGCCATGGCAGACGTTCCTAATCAGACCTGCCATACTTTCCCGCTGAGCCGTGACTTGGCTTTGCAGCTTGGCACCCAGGCAGCCACCACTGTGAGAACTGGCCCAGGAGAAAAAGCCCATTTGCCATCTTGGACCAGAGTCCTTATGACTAGGGTTCTATTTCTGCTCAGCTTTAAAATCCCTCTTTATCTTGCTTGAGCCCCTGCTCCCTCTTATCCAAAGCCCCTCCTTCCCCTTCCTAACCCTTTAGGCAGGAGCTCTCCAGAGGATCCAGGTGGTACGTGCGTTTGACATCTTCCAGATGTTGGACGTGCTACAGGACTTCCGAGGTGCTATGTCCCAGCAGGTGAGCCTGTTGTTCTGCCCCTCCCTGCTTCACCCAGCTTGCCGGGGCTGTCTGCATGTGGGCAGGTGTCCTAGCACAGACTGTTTGGAAATGCAGATGTGCCATCTGTGCCTGCCACAGGATGGAATGGGATTCCTGCGTGCTTAATTCCTTCCTGAGTTCCTTATTGTTTACCTGCCCATCTTCCCCACTAAACAGTAAGACCCTTGAGTGCAAGAATCATGTTGTATTCATTTCTGCATTCATCCCCCCTGGATCATCGAGGTTTACTTGCAGCTACAAGTAATAGAGTCTGTGTGACAGGCACTTGAACCTTGAGAGCATTTAATTATTTCTCATGAGTCTGGAGGTTGGCAGGTCCATGGTATCAGGGCTCTAGTTGGTGTGTCTGATTCTCTTGCTCTTCCCCCTCATGATTGCAAAGTGGCTGCTATAGCTCTAAGCATCACATCCTCGCACATCAAAACGCGTATTCAGGGCAGTAATAGATGGCCCCTTTTCTGCATTTCTTCCCTTTAATCAGGAAAGAAAAATCTTTCTCCAAAACCCACTAGTAGACTTCGCCTTACATCTAGTTGGCCAAAATGGAGTTTTATGTGTATCTTAGACTAGGGGTTGGGCCCACCTTCCATGACGTCAGATTTCTGCCCACTACCTGAACACATCCAGAATCCTGTTAACAAGGAAGAGGGGTTTAGAGTGGCATTTGGGTTGGTATCCCATTTTACCTGCTGGGTGCTTAGACAGGATTTGGTGCACTGATTTACAGGCTATTAGATTTAGAAAGACATCTTAGAATAGCTCAACTCTCGTTAAACTTCCTCAGACCCCAAAGTATAACATGTTCCTATGGGCATGCCCAAGATTGTATGTAAAGTAAATGATTTCTACAAACTTTAGAACACTTAATAGTTGAACAGATACTTGCCATAGGAGCTGTAGCTCGTTATGACCCATGTGTGTTGAGACATGAAATCAAGTAGCCCCGATCTAATCCAGCCCTCTCATTTCTAGAGATGAGGAGAGTGAGGACCAGAGAAGTTCAGTAAGTTGCTCAAAGTCACTACATAATTAGGATAAGAACTAAATCTCTGAACTCCCAGGTCAAATGATGTGTTTTTTTACTGGAAGACCATTATGATAGTATATTCTATTATGGCATAACAAGTTACCACAAACGTAATGACTTAAAACAACACGTTTACTACCTCACAGTTTCCGTGGGTCAGGAGTCTGGGCACGGCTTAGCTGGGGCTTCTGTTAGGATCTCAGTAGTCTGTAATCAAGATGGCAGCTGGACTGTGTTCTTATCTAGAGGCTCAACTGGGGAAGAATCTGCATACAAGTTCACTCAAGTTGTCACCAGAACTCATTTCCTAGTGGGTTCAGTGTCTTGCTGGTAGTTGTCCATGCTCCCACTGTTCTCTGCCCTGTGGCCCTTTCCATAGGCAGTTCACAGCACGACCACTTGCTTCATCAAAACAGCACAAGGATGAGAGCAAGGGGCGCCTGGCTGGCCCAGTCGGTTAAGCCTCTGACTTTGGCTCAGATCACGATCTCAGGGTCCTGGGATTAAGCCCCTCATTGGGCTCTGTGCTCGGGGGAGAGTCTGCTTCTCCCTCTCTCTCTCTCCCTGTGCTCCTCCCCTCACTCGTGTTCTCGCTCTTTCTCTCTCAGATAAGTTAAATTAAAAAAAAAAAAAGTGAGGGCGCCTGGGTGGCTCAGTTGGTTAAGCAACTGCCTTCGGCTCAAGTCATGATCCTGGAGTCCCTGGATCGAGTCCCATATCGGGCTCCTTGCTCAGCAGGGGGTCTGCTTCTCCTTCTGACCCTCCCCCCTCTCATGTGCTCTCTCTCTCATTCTCTCTCTCAAATAAATAAATAAAATCTTTAAAAAAAAAAAGTGAGAGCAAAATGCAACATGCAGTTTCATGTAACATAATGTAAAATTGGGAGTGACGTCCCATCACCTCTGCCATATAGCATAGCTTCATCAAGAAAGTGACATTCCAGCACCTTTGACACTGTATTAGTCAGAAGCCAGCTACAGGACTCGCCCACGGTTGGGGGAAGGGATTACACAAGGCTTGAATACCTGGAGGTGGAGGTCAAGGGGCCACTTTCAGGTCTGTCTGCCACAGATGACCTGATGGCTCCATAGTTACTAGCAGTGAAAGGCTGGCTGTCTGCATTTTAGCCAGAGATTTTAACCTGCTCTCCCAGAGTGAGGAAGAGCTAAGCTGGTTTCAGTTTTAGCTTCTCTTCTTTTCTGCCATCCTGTCTTAGATGAGTGGATGACATGAGAGTCAGTAACTGGACAATGAAGGAAGACATGCAAAAGACAAACCAGATTATGCTGAAAATCCAAGATTTGGCTCGCATGAAGTGAGAAAGAACGTTTTGGAAACAGAATCAGCAAATGACTTGGACATAAAGAGTAAGGGAGGTTAGGTCCAAGAAACTAGGATGATGCTAATGCATGTGTGGAGATAAAAGATGATGGTTTTAACATGGCTGTCTATATAGTCTGTATTTGGAACTGCTTTAGATGTGGAAGATGAGGCCCTAGAGGCATGATCTAGAAGGAGACTGAAGTAAAGAGAAGGCTAACCCCTTCAGCACAGGGAGTTAGGAATTTGGGAAGTAAGCAGAAGAGGGAGAAGAGCCTGGCAAGATGGTGGTGGGGAATGCTGGCCATAAGAAAGATGGCTGCTAAGAAAATTCAGGACTGGGGGTGCCTGGGTGGCTCAGTCAGTTAAGCATCCCACTCCTTTTTTTTTTTTTTTTTTGAAGATTTATTTATTTGAGGGAGAGAGTGCGTGTGAGCGAATGAGTGGGGGGAGGGGCAGAAGGGGGGGGAGAGAGAGAATCCTGGAGCATCTCTGCTGAGTGGGGAGTCCAATATGGGGCTAGATCCCAGGACCCCGAGATCAAGACCTGAGCTGAAATCAAGAGCCGGCTGCTTAACCAGCTGAGCTACACAAGCACCCCAAGCATCCCACTCTTGATCTCAGTTCAGGTCTTGATCTCAGGGTCCTGAGTTCAAGCCCGTGTGCCTACTTTAAAAAAAGTCTCGGGGCACCTGGGTGGCTCAGTCAGTTGAACACCTCTAACTCTTGATTTCGGCTCAGGTTGTGATCTCAGGGTCCTGGGATAGGGCCTGGGATAGTCTGCTTGTCCTTCTCCCTCTCTTTTTCTCCTTCCCCTACGCATGTGCGCGCGCTCTCTCTCTTTCACACATACATACATACATACATACGTACATACATACATAAATAAACTTTAGGGAAAAAAATCCTAAAAAAAATTCAGGACCGGGGGCCTGGCTGGCTCTGTGGGTGTAGCATGTGACTCTTGATCTCGAGGTTGTGAGTTCAAACCCCAAGTTGGGTGTAGAGATTATAAATAAGTTAAACAAAGAAAAGAAAGAAAATTCTTGACTGGGGCCACGGAACTTAGAATAGGGATTTCTCAAATTTAATTATTTTGGTGTATCTGTGATGTCCTGTGATTTAAACCCCTTCTATCCACCCAAGTCTTCAGTAAAATTGACTATACCTACAAATGGAGATGGGGAAAAAAGATCTTACTGAAATTCCATGATGCCTGCACAGCTGTATTTGGGGTTGGAGAACTTATTTCTTTTTATTTCTTTTTTATTTTTTTTTAAAGATTTTACTTATTTTTCAACAGAGAGACAGCGAGAGAGGGAACACAAGCAGGGGGAGTGGGAGAGGGAGAAGCAGGCTTCCCGCCGAGCAGGGAGCCCGATGCGGGGCTCGATCCCAGGATGCTGGGATCATGACCTGAGCTGAAGGCAGCTGCTTAACGACTGAGCCACCCAGGTGCCCCTGGAGAACTTATTTCATATCAGTTTTTTTTTTAAGATTTTTTTTTTTTAACTTATTCATTTTGACAGAGAGCACAAGTAGGCAGAGCACAGGCAGAGGGAGAGGGAGAAGCAGGCTCCCCGCTGAGCAGAGAGCCCATCGTGGCTCGATCTCCGGCCCCTGGGATCCTGACCTAAGCCGAAGGCAGATGCTTAACTGACTGAGCCACTCGGGCGCCCACTTACCGGTTTCTGATAGAGGAGCAAGCTTGCCCTATATTGGACGCCCCCTAGAGGCCAACTGGTTTATGGCCTCTGCTTCTCCCCAGGTGAGCAGTGCCTCGGTGACGGTGAAGGTGGTGGTTGTGGACTCGGTCACTGCGGTGGTCTCTCCACTTCTGGGAGGTCAGCAGAGGGAAGGTAAGAGGTGCCGCAGAGCCCAGGTCCGGGACGTGATCTTGCCTCCCAGCTCTGGAATGCATTCCCTGATCAGCCCAGTCCCAGGTGCCTTGCTGCCCTCACCCTGTGCTTCTCCTCCTCCAGGCTTGGCCTTGATGATGCAGCTGGCCCGAGAGCTGAAGACCCTGGCCCGGGACCTTGGCATGGCGGTGGTGGTGAGGACGTGGGCTTCACCAGCCTGCTGGTCTTATCTCTGCTCCCTGGGCTTTGCCGAGGCGGGACCTGATTTTGAGTTCTAGTTCCAGCTGTTTACATTCCTTAAATGACAACTTAACCCCCAACATGGCCCTTTTGGAAAGGATCTTAGCCCAACTTCCCTGGGCCATCTAGAGCCCTGGACTGTGATGGGATCGGACATAAATAGCCAAGGGGTCAGGGACAGTCTTGGTTTTCTTTTTACTTCAAGACAGGTTTATTGAGGAATAATTACACACAGTAACTTTCTCCTCATTGGAAGTTTGGCTAACAGTTAATAATGTATCCGCTCTTGTTACAAGGCACAATCAAGATCTAGAATATTTCGGTTACCCCAAAAAGGTCCCCAAGCCCCAGACAACAACTGATCTGGTTTCTGTCCCTATAGTTTTGCCTTTTCCGGTGCTTCATAGAAAGGGATGTTTTTGCTTTCGAAGTAACTTTTTCTGCTTTCGGAGGACTGTTTTTAAAGTCTGCATGCTTCTCATAGGGTAAAAAATAGTTAAATATAGGAGTCAAATTTGTAGTAAATCTCCACATCCACAGAAAACATATTCATATTTTTATATATCTCCATAGAATCTCTTTTCTCTGCATATATGTGTGTATTTTTAACCAGTTTTCCAACTAAACTGTAACCGTGTTTAAAAAAAAAAACAACTCATCTCATTCCATTTCCCATGTCTTTAAATAGATGCTTTAAAAATGCCATTTTTAGCTGTTACATATTTCATTTAATACCTGTGGTACAGGGATCAGCAAACTTTTCTGTAAAGGGCCAGAGAGTAAATGGTCGAGGCTTTATGGCCAGATGGTTTCTGTCACTGCTACTCAGTTCTGCCTAGATTGTGTGAGAGCAACCACAGAGAGTCCCTAAACAGAGGGCATGGCTATGTTCCAGCCAAACTTGACTTTCGGAAATAATTTTGGGGCCACATTTGGCCTGTTGGGAGTAGTTTGCCAAACCCTGGTATCCCATAATGATCTATTTCTTGATTTGGGGCTTGTAGGTCATTACTGGTTTTCCTCTTTTATTTTCTTTTTAATTTTTTTTGTAAGTGTTCTGTAATTTTTTTTTTAAAGATTTTATTTATTTATTTGACACAGAGAGCAAGAGAGAAAGAGCACAAGCGGGGGGAGCAGCAGAGGGAGAGGGAGAAGCAGGCTCCCCACTGAGCTGGGAGCCCGACATGGGGCTCGATCCCAGGACCCTGGGATCATGACCTGAGCCGAAGGCAGACACTTAACCGACTGAGCCACCCTGGCACCCCTGGTTTTCCTCTATTTTAAGTAAAACTCTGGGGCACCTGTTGGCTCAGTTGGTTAAGCGTTGGACTCTTGATTTTGGCTCAGGTCATGATCTCGGGGTTGTGAGATCGAGCCCCACACTGGGTTCCGTGCTCAACAGGGAGTCTGCTTGAGATTCTCCCTCTCTACCCCTCCCCCCTGCTCACGTGCTCGCGCTCTCTCTCTCTCTAAAATATATAAATCTTTAAGTAAAACTCCAGTGAACACCCTGATAACCTAAATTTCTTTGCACATTTCATATTACTTCCTCAAACTCCTAAAAGTATAATTACAGAGTCAGGGATACACATTTTTTTAAATTTATTTTATTTATTTATTTTTAAAGATTTTATTTATTTATTTGAGAGAGAAAAAGAGAACCAGAGAGAGAGAGAGCACGAGCTGGGGTGTGGGGGGCAGGCAGAGGGAGAGAGAGAAGCAGACTCCCCGCTGAGCAGGGAGCCCGATGCAGGACTCGATCCCAGGACCCTGAGATCACGACCTGAGCCAAAGTCAAGACGCTTAACCAACTGAGCCACCAGGAGCCCCAGGAATACATACATTTTTAAATGTGTAGATATGATACCACCAAATTTCCAGGAAGGTTATACTAATTTGTACACCCACCAGCAGTGTTCTTAAACTGAGTCCCAGGGCCTCCCTCTCCTGACTTCAGGCTGTACATGATCACCTGCTTGTGGCCCTGGCTTAGGCAGTGGGGACTCAGTGATGAACAAGCTGCAGCCCCCTGCCCCTGGTTGGGGGGCCGGTGGGGATACTCTCATCAAGGGATGCTGTGAGGCTCAGGTTGCCTACCTATGACTATCCTGGGCACCGGAGAACTGACTGACCAGATTACGACCTCCCTTTCGAAGCTCCCACGACCCCCTACACGCAGATGTACTCCCTGCCACAGAGGGCTGGGTGGTATGGTCTCAGAATGCCTGTCTGCTGGGTTGGGGGTGTAGGAGGCGCAGGCCCACCACTATCTTCCCTCCAGCAAAGTGCAGACAGAGATGCTTATTCCCAGACCTATGAGCTATGACCTTCTGCTGGAGTCAAGCCTGAGGCATGGTGATTTCGTGGAAAGAGTTGAGCACAAGTGAGGACCTGGGGTTCTAGTTCCAGACCAGCTGTCAATAACTCAGGGAGCCTTGGGGAAGTCCTTTCTCTGTGTTGGGCCTCACTTTTCCCACTTGCAGAATGAAGCAGAAGGAACAGATATCCTCTATGCCACTATTATCAATCTGGAAGTCTTTGCTTCTTTCTGCCTCAGGTAACCAACCACATGACCCGAGACAGAGACAGTGGGGAGCTCAAACCTGCCCTCGGACGCTCCTGGAGCTTTGTACCCAGCACCCGGATTCTCCTGGACATTGACGAAGGAGCAGGAGTGTCAGGCAGTCGGCGCAGGGTATATCTGACCAAATCTCCCCGTCTGGTGAGCCAGCCACAGGGGAAAGCCAGGGATCTGGGCCCTTGAGGGTGTTTGTGTGCCCAGATGTCTCACAGGGGAATTCTTGGACGCTGAGACCCGGCAACCAAAGAGGCTGCCTGCTTGAGTTGCTTAACTCGAAAACTTACCCTTCCCTCCTGTCTTCTTCCAGCCAACAGGTTTCCAAGAGATGGTAGACATCGGGACCTGGGCGCCTCCAGAGCAGAGCCCAGCGTCCCAGGGAGATCAGATATGACTGTGCTGTTGATTGGGAAGGGGGGGCATCAAGCGCCCCACCTCTCTGCACACTAGCAACTGCTGGTCACTGCTACCCGGTACTTGGGACTGCAGTAGAAGCTCTTGGGCTGGACACAAGAGACATCTCTGTTTCCTCAGCTTCTCTTTCTGTGGAAACAGAGCTACAGGCGAGAGAGGATTCGGTGGTGGAAGGACCCAGAAACTCATGCTCGTGCCAAGTTTTCTTCCTTGTTTCTATCATATATGTTTCCCTGCGAGCAGAGTTCACCCTGGCCTCCGGCCTCTCTGAAGAGGCCTGCTAGTGACCGGACAGGACCCTGTGTGTCACCATCTTACCCACACTCCATCCTCACACAGTGACAGAGCTCGGAAGCCTCTGCTTCTCTCTCTCTTTTTTATTTTGCCTCTGTTTTTCCATCTGTAAGATGGAGCTCCCTTTCCCCTAGCTTTGTCTTTGAGTTACTGGGTGGAAGCAACCTTGTAAATGCAAAGCCCTTCTTTATCCATGTCATGCTCTTAAAAATATAAACAGGAAATTCCTTGAGCCCCAGAGCCACCTGATTTCCCCCCAGAAGGATGTTTTTCAGTTTCCCCTAGTGAGGTTCCAAAGAACAGTTCTTCCTTTTTTTTTCCCTCTTGCTGATTTGGTTTCATGCACCTGCATGCATCACCACGACTAGGTGAGACTGTGAACTTGCTGCAGTCCCAGGGATATAATTTAACAGGAAGGGAGGATGTGGCCACAGTGAATCCAGCTACTTGTTTATTATGCATGGTGCCCTGTAGGGCCCCTCCACAGTATAGAGGTGCCTCACAGCCAGAGGTGCTGAACCATGGCCTTGCCCATAAACAGGAAAGAATTTGCACAGTAAATACAGCCAGCTGGGAAAATTGATGCTGGCGTAAATAATACATGGCAAATCTAGTCTTTTATGCAGAAGTTCATTGCCGGTGGCTCCAAGATGCAATATAATTCGCCTTCTCTTCCTGACAGCTGTACCGCAACCTGGTGCCCTAGTGTATGACATAACCCCCCGTCTGTTAGCGGCACTGTGGCCGTCCATCTGAGAGCCGTAGCCCTGGCTGGGGGCGGAGAGGAGGACACCAGGGGAGGAATAATAAAAAGGCAAAGTAGAGAAATGGTCAGAATTGTTTACTGTCCACATTTTTTTACAGGAAGTTCGCCTTTCTCAGAGAGCCTGTCGTGATTAATTAGTTGTGTCTTGGCTGCAGGAATAGGGGGCAGAGTTCCGGGGGGGAGATAGGACATGAAGATGATGAACATAGCAGAGACAGAAGCAGGAAGCATGGAGGATCGGGAGTGAGCGGCAGACCGGCTCCAGGGTATCTGCCTGCGTGAGGAAAGGGTTGGGGAGCCTAGGACTGGGGGGAGGCTGGCCCTGCTGCCTGCAGTAAGGACCCCAGGAGAAACGAATCTTCCATATCCTCATACCATAAGTGGTCGGCTCATTTCTGCAACCATCATAGGAAACGGGACGTTAAGTGAGGGGATGGAAAATCCCTGCCACTCCTACTATTTGGGTATTTTGAGCCCCGGGGGGTCTCACCAATCTCCCAAGCATTCTGTTTTTGTGGAACTTGGGAATGTTTTTGCAGTTTTTCTCCGCACGGCCCTCCAGGGGGGCACAACCTACTAGTGGGAGTGGGCATTCGAGGTGGAGCCTCGTTGCCCTCTCTGCCCTGGGCAGATCTGCCATGTTCCCTGTATGTTGTGAGTCAGGACCCTGGAATAATGGGGTCTGAGAGGCCTGTAAAGACCATGTGCCCCACACTGTCACTTAACAGGGAAGCTGAGGCCCAAAGAGGAGAAGTGACGGTCCCTGTGGCAAAGCAGCAACTGACACCCAGGACTCCTGATTCCTAAGCCAGACTCTTTGGGTCTCCATCTTGCCTTTAGTTTCCCATCTGCGCAGCTCTCTTCCCACCAGGCACTAACCCCAGCTCAGGGTGCCAGGGCCATCACCACATGGCCTCGCTGCTCCAGACCACCTGTGACATCCTGCAGGACCTTGTCCCTCACAGCTTGCTTTCTCCTCGGACCTTGCTCTCAGACCAGAGCTTTCTCTCGCACTGCCTGCTGCCCCTAAACACGCCACTCGGGGCACACTGCACTGAGCAGTCCCCCTCAAGCCAGGCTGCCTCTTGTGCCCAAGTACCTCTGGCTCCCTTTGCTGATGCATCGGCCTCTGTTTGGTGCATACTTACCCTGACAGCCTCCCTTTTTATGCATCAACTATGGTCTAGATAGACATCAGAACCTCTCTCTATCACTCATCTTCCTGTGCACTTGTCGCCCATGAGCTCAAGAGCCTTTTTTTTTTTTTAAGATTTTATTTATTCGAGAGAGAGCATGAGTGGGGGGAGGGGCAGAGGGAGAGGTAGACTCCCCACCAAGCAGGGAGCCCCACGTGGGGCTCAATCCCAAGACCCTGGATCATGACCTGAGCCAAAGGCAGATACTTAACCGACTGAGCCACCCAGGCATCCCGAGCTCAAGATCCATTTCAATTTTTCTTTTCCTCTCTGCATAGTCTGGGAGCTCAATAATGGTTAACTACATGAGTGGGTGGGCTTTCGTGCATTTTAAAGGTGGCAAAGGAGGAATGCAGGAATGTTTTTCTTCTGATCTAGTCTTTAAGTCCCCAAAGTATCTTTTTATGTATCTTTCTAGAGAGGACTCCTGTATGTCCCAAGTTTGAGATTAGACAAAATTAATATTGGGTCCCTACTGTGGGCTAGCACTTGATGACTTTAAGTCAGGCACCTGAACTCCCAAAGACTCTCAGGCAAGAGGTCCATGTATCATTGAGGCTGCTGTCCACTGCAATTAACAAAACCTGGCTTAAAGAGGCTTCAACAATAAGGACATTATCTCCGATTACATGAAGTCCAAGGTTGGCTCATTCAGTGGCTCAGTGTGAAGTGGTGTAAAGTCCCTTTTCTCTTTCTGCTTTGCTCTCCTTTTGTGTTGGTTTTGTCTTTAAGCTCATGCTCCTTGTTAAGGCCTGGGTGTAGCCATTCTGAGTATCAATCCAGATATGACAATATCTACAGGCAGGAACATGATCCTTGTGTCCTTTTAAGTTAAAACTCAACTTCCAACCAAAGCAGACTTACCTCATATCTTATTAGTGCAGAATTGCTTCCTGAACCCACATCGAAATCATGGCAAGGGAAATTGGTCTATGATTGGCTCAGATCAACCAGAAAATAGTCCTGGAGCTGGGGCTAGGGACAGGCTTTCCTTAAGCACGTGCTATGGCCATCAGAAGGAAATGGGGGTGCTACTAGAAAGGAGGGAGTTGTGTGGAGGAATTGAAGTGTCTGCCATAGTCCAGAAGGCAAGTTTATCAAGGCTTTCATGTGCTTAGGCCATGTACGCATCTCATTTAGATGTTAGGACAGCTTTGTGGCATGGGGAGTCATTCCATTTTACAGACTGTAGGAGTCCAGCAAGGCTGAGGACATAAGGCTAATAAGTGGCAGCACCAGAATCTAAACTCGAATTGTCTCATTCAAAACCCTACTTCTTTCCATCCTCATGCTGCCTTCAGCTGTGAATATGTAACTGTTTTGATAAAATTCTTTTTTATATTCTACCCAGATAGTAGCCAAGGCTACACATCTTGACCTTTTTTTAGCTTAGCTCACCATAAAAAGCTGGATCAGAGATCTACTTTATCAGCTCTTTCCAATTTCCCCCAGGGAATTTATGAGAGAATGACACACACATGGAGAAGGGAGATATCGGTATTAAAGTGAACTGGAGGGGTACCTGGCTGGCTCCGTTGGAAGAGCATGTGTCTTGATCTCGGTGTCATGGGTTGGAGCCCCACATCAGGTGTAGAGATCACTTAAATAAACAAAAAAACAAACTTAGAAAGTGAACTGGAGGTTTAGGGGAAAATAAATCTGAATAAAAAACAATGGTCACGGGGTGCCTGGGTGGCACAATTGTTAAGCGTCTGCCTTCGGCTCACATCATGGACCTAGGGTCCTGGGATCGAGTCCCACATCGGGCTCCCTGCTCAGTGGAAAGCCTACTTCTCCCTCTCCCACTCCCCCTGCTTGTGTTCCCCTCTCTTGCTGTGTGTCTCTCTCTCAAATAAATAAAATCTTAAAACAACAACAACAACAACACATTCTTCAGGGCGCCTGGGTGGCTCAGTTGGTTAAGTATCTGCCTTCGGCTCAGGTCATGATCTCCCTCTGCCCCTTCTCCCTACTCATGCTTTTTCTCTCTAATAAAATCTTTTTTTTTATAAAGATTTTATTTATTTATTTGACAGATATAGTGAGAGAGGGAACACCAGCAGGGGGAGTGGGAGAGGGAGAAGCAGGCTTCCTGCGGAGCAGGGAGCCCAATGTGGGGCTTGATCCCAGGACCCTGGGACCATGACCTGAGCCGAAGGCAGAGGCTTAACGACTGAGCCACCCAGGCGCCCCTCTTTTTTTTTTTAATCGTAAAAACAAACAAACAACAAATACCTGAGATGTGAGCCAGGAAGAGAGAAGGGATTTAGAAATGTGCATATCCCACTAGGTTTTTGCTGTGTTCCCCCATGGAATAGTACTGGGTAGAGTTAATACTGTTCAAAGTGGTATGTTGGGGAAGGGTATTGGAGAAGCTCTGTGATGCATGGAGTTTAAATTAGAGCTAGTTATATTATTCATCACAGGTTACCCTCAGGGGTGCCTGGGTGGCTCAGTCAGTGCGATGTCTACTTTCAGCTCAGGTCATGATCCCAGTGTCCTGGAATTGAGCCCCACATTGGGCTCCCTGCTCAGCAGGGGAGTGTGATTCTCTCTCTGCCCCTCCCCTCTGCTCATTCTCTTTCTCTCTCTGCCCCTCCCCCCCATGCTCACTCTCTTTCTCAAATAAATAAAAAATTTTTAAAATGTTACCCTCAATAAAGAAGATGTGGTATATATATACAATGGAATATTATGCAGCCATCAAAAGGAATGAGATCTTGCCATTTGCAACGATGTGGATGGAACTGGAGGGTATTATGTTGAGTGAAATAAGTCAAACAGAGAAAGACATGTATCATATCTCACTGATATGAGGAATTCTTAATCGCAGGAAACAAAGTGTTGTTGGAGTGGGGGGTGGGGTGGGAGGGATGGGGTGACTGGGTGATAGACACTGGGGAGGGTATGTGCTCTGGTAAGCGCTGTGAATTGTGCAAGACTGTTGAATCTCAGATCTGTACCTCTGAAACAAATAATGCAATATATGTTAAGAAAAAAAAAAAGAAGAAGAAGAAGGTAGCAGGAGGGGAAGAATGAAGCGGGGGAAATCGGAGGGGTAGACGAACCATGAGAGACGATGGACTCTGAAAAACAAACTGAGGGTTCTAGAGGGGAGGGGGGTGGGAGGATGGGTTAGCCTGGTGGTGGGTATTGAGGAGGGCACAGTCTGCATGGAGCACTGGGTGTTATGCACAAACAATGAATCATGGAACACTTCATCTAAAACTAATGATGTATGGGGATTAACATAAGAATAAAAAAATAAATAAAATAGTTAAAAAAAAATGTTACCCTCAAAAAAAAAAAGGTGTTTTTCTCATTTTTTTTCTTGTCTTATTGCACTGGCTAGACTAAGGTACTAAGTTGAATAGAAGCACCCATGGCCATTTTCCTGGTCTTGTTCCTGACTTTAGTGTGCTGTTCCCAGTATTTTATCATTAAGGTTCTGTAGGTTCCCTGTAGTGACCTTTTATCAAGGTAGAGACCTCATTGTGTCTCCTGTTTATCCTGCAGAGGGAGGCCAAGTACTGGCCATTACATTGGCCATGCACAGAGCTCGCTCTCCCAGTCGATGGAAGGTCCATGTGTCCTGGAGCTATACAGCTGTACTTCAGTTGCTGCACTAGATTGACTCCTTGAATAGCCTTTGAACCCTAGCCCTTCTCTGCCTCCCTGTAGTTTCTGGGTATAACAGCCTTAATTGAAGACTGGGTTTTACCAGAAGACAATGGGTCTATGCAGAAAAGAATACAAAGTCAAGGAACAAGATTTTTTAATTTTTCATAAAAAGATTTTTTTTATTTGAGAGAGAGAGCACAAGGAGGGGGAGCAGGAGAGGGAGAAGCAGGCTCCCCACTGAGCAGGGAGCCTGATGCCAGATGCTGGGGCTTGATCCCAGAACCCTGGGATCATGACCTGAGCCGAAGGCAGACGCTTAACTGACTGAGCCACCCAGGCGCCCCAAGGAACAAGATTTTTTACATCTCAACTAACTCGGTCTTAGCTCTGACACTTACTTGCTGGGTGTCATTGGATGAATCACTTAGACTCTTTAAGCCTCAGTTTCATCTACTGTGAAATGAGGAAAACAATGCCTGCTGCATAGGGTGCCTGGGTGGCTCAGTGAGTCAAGTGGCTGACTCTTGATTTCAGCTCAGGGTCATGGGATCGAGCCCTGCATCAGGCTCTGTGCTCAGCGGGGAGACTGCTTGAAGATTCTCTCTCTCCCTCTCCCCCTGCCCTTCCCCTGTCTCTCTCTCTAAAATAAATAAATCTTTAAAAAATAATAATGCCTGATGGATAGAATTGCTTTGGAGTCATATAGCTTATGTAAAGCACCAAATGCTTTTCCAGGCCTATAATGGAACTAAATGTCATATCATTGTGAGGCTTCCAATGCCTGAAAGGTACTAGTGACAGCTTCGTTCTGTCCAGGCAAGGCCAGCTTCACGGTAGTGTGACCAGTGCCGTTGCACAGAGCCTTGTGCTTACTTTAATACTCTGAAGTATTTGGGAAGTACCCTACCATTGATTTCTTAGGGAATAACCCCCTTAGAGAGTTACCTCTTGTAGAAAAATTGGGATTAGCATCTCGTGTCTGTTTATCTCTGTTCCATTCTGGGGTAATAGATACAGCCTCTTTTAGAAAGGAATTCTTTATATTTTCCATAATTTATTAGGTCCAGAGAAGTTAAGAGGGGGCTGGTGAATTGGAATGATGATTTGGGGTTTTGGATAAAGAAAAGATCTAGGTTCAAAATGCATTCTGGCAGGGCACCTGGGTGGCTCAGTTGTTAGGCGTCTGCCTTCGGCTCACGTCATGGTCCCAGGGTCCTGGGATCGAGCCCCGCATCGGGCTCCCTGCTCAGCAGGAAGCCTGCTTCTCCCTCTCCCACTCCCCCTGCTTGTGTTCTTGCTCTCTCTCTCTCTCTCTGTCAAATAAATAAATAAAATCTTTAAAAAAAATGCTTTCTGGCCAAATTACTTGGACAAGATAATGTCTCTGTCTCATTGGTAAAATATATGTTGCAGGGGAATTATATTTTCCTTATTGGTAAAATTATATGTCTCAGGGGAACTTAACAGATAATTTAAAGTGCCTTTCACAGAATGTCTGGCACATAGTAGGTGCTCAATCACCATTAATTCTTTCAGCTTGTGCCAGAAGTAGCAAAAATCAGGTCACTAGCTCTTACAAGCCATGCTGCTACTAATAAAAGAAATAATATGATTTATTTTTTCACTCCTGTTTGGGGAAAGGCGTGTGCTTCATAAATATGTATTGGAAAGTACTTAGCAAATGAGTAGAAATAATAAAAATATGTCAAAGTAAACAGCTCCTATAAATATGTCACTTGGTAGACAAATTAGTGTTTTATTAACACTAAATACTATTGCTTGCCGAAAAGGATTTTAGATTACTTGCACAATGGGTACATTATTGAGTGCCTCTGCAGAAGGGCACGCTAAAGATTAAAAATAGTGATGGTGATAATGCTAAAGGTGGAGAAAGGAGGAGTGTGGGTAAATGCAGCTCTGAGACCTCCTTGCTTCAGTGATATGTACATTATTTAGCAACATTCCCATGATTTAACTGTAATATGGACCAGAGGACCCAGGGAAAAAAATGACCTCTAGAGGATGTCATGAATCTAAACTCCAGTCATTGGGTCCAACCAGTGGATTGAGAGCACTTCCCTTTGGAACTGAGCACTCAGCTTGTAAACTGAGCTTACAAAAACATCTCTGGTCTCACCCCATCCTTGTTCTGGACCTATTAACTTTCTATACTATAATTAACACAAAGAGGAGAGATCAGGTGGAGAATGCTGCGACTTAATCACAGGTCACAAATCCATTTCAGAAACAAGAGGATGAACAATGTCCTGACATCTCAAGAGGAAAGGAACCAGATGGGGGAAAACAGGAGACAATAAACGCCTTCATGGGGGGAATAAAGCCCTGGAGAGAAGCAGAGAAGACAGAATTCCATCAAGGAAAGTTACCAAAGTAGCTAGGTAGGAAAAAGATGAGGGGCGGGAAGCCTCTAGAAGGCCAATATTTCCATGAGTTACTGGGGGTGGAAAGACCTGGTTTCAAATTTCGGCTTGGCCTTTTTCAAACGGTGTGGCTTTGGGTAAATTACTTAACCTTCAGATCTTCGTTAATAACATGGGAATAATAGTACTCAGTTTGCTGGGTTGTGAAGATTAGAAATACTTGTGGAGTGACAGTCCACATGTATAAATGATAGTGTTTTTACATCATTTTTTCTCATGATAGTCCTTATTTTAAAATATAAATTGCTCAGAACAACTGTGGGAGGTTTCGATAGGAAACTAAAAGCAGAAGAAAATGTGTCATTAGACATGGTCAGAATAATGATTAGAATGTATATTATTTTCATGACTAGGTATTTTCTTCGTCCACACTGGCTAATGATCCCCCATGCAATCCGGTGCTTTACAGTTTACTAAGCACTTCTAAATGCATTAGCTCATTTAATCCTCATGCCACCCTACTTCCTAACAACCATACCAATTGTTTCAGGGATGAGGAAGCTGGAGTTCAGAGGCGTTAAGTACCTGCTAAAAGGTACACAGCTGATGAATGTCCGGGGTGGGCTCCTGAGCACAGTCCTTTTCCTTCAACCAAGGCCTTCTCGGAGCAGTTTCCTCACCCTCCTAAGGTAAAACTAACTAACCTTGGGGGGTTAGACTGGGAAATGCTAGATGAGGGAGGTGCCAGCGACTGAGTGGGAAAAGCATGGGTTTTGATGTCTTACACATCTGGCTTCTAATACCTTCCAGCTACGGGACCTTGAGTAAGCTAGTGAACCCTGATGGGCCTGGGTTCCCTCCATTGTAATCTTGGGAACCCTCACCTGCTTATAGCATTGTTGGGAGGAACAATGAAATATTAAAGTGAGGCAACCCGTAAACTCTTACAACGAAACGAGTTCAGGGATGTTAAGGGACTCGCTCAAGGTCACCAAGCTGGACCACCACCTAGCTGAGCCTCGTACGTGGACTCCAGCTCCTCGTGCAAAGTCCGGTGACCAAGGCAACGAGGGGCAGCAGATGCCCTGACACCAGAGAACCGACTCCTCCGCGGCTGGCTGCGGGGCTCAGGTTCAGGCTCGGCCTGCCCCGCCTCCGGCCGCCTCAGCTCCGCCAGGGGGCGCGCGCGGAGGCCACACTCTAGCCCGCCGCGCGCCTCGCCCCTCTCTATGGTGGCTGGGGCACCGCGGGAGCGGAGGCGCGCTCCCGAGAGGGGCGGGGCCGCGCCGGGGGCGGAGCCGCGCAAGGGGCGGGAGCGGCCGGGCAGTGCGGCTGGCGATGGGTGGGGGGGCCAACTTCCTGGGGCCGCCCGTGAGGATGTCGCGACCGCCCCCCGATGCCCCTCAGCCCCGGAGACGCCGCCGCGGCGGAGCCGGGAGCGCCCTTGCCTGAGGCGCCCGCGGCCCGGATCCGGCCCCTCCCCTCCCAGGTGCGGACCGCCGGGCGGGCGCGGCAGGTGAGGAGGCGGCGGCGGCGCTGGGATACGCGAGGTGCCCGGCCTGGGTGGGGTCCTGGGGGAGGTCGGGGTGGGAGTGCGGCTCGACCTCGGGTTCCGCCGGGCTGTGGTCTGGAGGCGCCTACTCTGTGCGGGGGGCGGCCTGGGACTCTCCCTGCCTCGCTGGAAGTCTCCGCATCCGGGGTAGCTCGCACCTGTCCCATTAAAAGTCCCTTCAAAGAAAGCATTTCACCTGTGCGGGCAGTAACCCGAGACGGGTATCTTCAAATTTCTCCAAAGCCTTACAGACCTGCAGGTTCAGTTGGCTTGTGGGGTAAAGATGCCTCTTTACGGCAGAGGAAACTGAGTCAGGTACGCGGCGGCCTGGTGCCCCCTATAAAGGACCTAGCTTGTCTCTGCTTCCTTGTGGAGGAGCCCTTGAGGCTTCTTGGAAGGAGGGGGCTGGAGTTCCGAGGCTTGGTGGAGAAGTTTGGGAATGTGGGCCCCCCACCCCTCCTACCACTCTTCCCTGTAGGGATTTGCCCTCCGTTTATTTGAGGTGATGTGTGAGGTCGCCAGTGGCCAAGACGGAGAAGGGAAGTGGGGCCCCTCTGCAGCGGGCTGCCCCTGAGACATTTGACCGGGCATAGGGAAGTATATGGCTAGACCAGGGGAGTCAGCATGGCAGACATCTGTCTGCTCAGAGCTTGATTTCGAGCTGGCAGAAGATACCAACAAGAGCATATTTTCTCCTTTTTGTTGGTCTGTATTTGTTCTAGTGGGAGAAAACTGCTTGTGTAATCAAGGAAGATTGTATCAAGCTCCTCCCAGTCTACCTCAGGGAAGAATTATTGTTAGCTTGGAAATAGGGCTTTACCCACACTTTGCACCTTGGCTAAAGGCCACAGTGACCTAATGAATAATCATCCACAGGTGCATGTGGCCTTCTAAGAATGCAGTAAGTTCCTTATTCATCCCTTTTACAGGTGGTTTGGAGGACAGGGAAGACTTCCAGTCACTCCTGTTGCTACAGCTGTCTGGGGAGCCTTGTGATTTTCCCAGTGACAGTTCAAGTTACTGAAATGTGGCCAAAGCTGTCGATTTTTATTGAGCCATTTTTCTAGGAATGGGAGTAGGTAGGGGACACGGTGCTTTGCTGAGTTCTTATACAGAATTCCAGGGTTGGGAGCTGCAGTGTTACTTCCTTTCTGTCAGGGGATTTTAGGTTTGACAACTTCTTTATCCTTTTTTCCTGATTGCATTCTTTCACATTCAAGGACATAAATGATGGCAGTTATTTCTGAAACGTTATGGCATATTTCCTAATAATTCTGGACTTCAATTCATAAACCAGTTTATTTAGAGGTGTCATTTTCTAAGTTTGGAAATTGGGTATAACAATTGCAGATTGATGTGGCAGGGCTATATAATAACTTGATTGTGCTTGAAGAAAATTTCCATGTAATCTAGGACACACACACACACTTAATGTCTATATCTAGTTACAAAGTTAACCCACTTAAAACTTACAAATTGGTCAGGTAGACAGCTGTTATTCTGTTTACATTGGGATCAAAGGCTTTAAATCCTCCAAATTGACTTAATTTAACCAACTCCTAAAATAATATGCACAGAAAAAGAGCTGTTCTCCGATTAGAAATTAATTTGTTTTTAATCTTTCTCATGGCCAGGCTGGTTGACATAACTGCTTAGCACCATCTAATAGGAATGCATCTTTAAGGCCTCTTAAGATAGCAGTGAAAAGCATTTTCTTTTTCTTTTTTTGAAAAAGCATTTTCAATTACCAGCATTTAAAAAGATAAAACAGCAACAATATCAAAAAAAGGCACAATTTCTTCCCTCATTACATGTTCACTGTGATGTTTAATATAGCCACACCCATCTGTAAGAGTACTGTGCCTAGGACTTCCTGGAAACACCTACAGAAACTTAAGGAGTGTTAGGGGGATGATTCCACCTTGATTTTTTATTCTTATAATAGAACCATTAACATTGCTATTGTTTTAAGGGTAGATTAGAGACTTTTATATCAGACTTGTATTGGCCATAGTGTTTATGTTTTGGGATGAAAGTTTTAGCCTCTGCACCTTGGAATCTTATCACCCCTGTAATACAGAACTAAGTCATAACTTAGAGTTTAATGAGAAACATAATTTAAATTGCTATTGGTGAAATCTCAAGGGACTAGCTGCTTCATCGTTATTATTGTTTGGTAATGATTACTGGTTATTATTTTTGTTTGGTTACTGGTTATTGGTAGTGGTTACTTGTGTTTAGGTAAGAAAGATTTTGGCAATTAAAAGGACAATCTTTTTCTATTACCTTTTTTTTGGTCTTTTTTTTTAATTGAAGTATAGTTGACACACAAGGACAATCTTTTTATATATAAACACGTGAACTCCCATTCCTTCAACAGGGAAATGGTTTGGTCATTTTCTTGTATTGTGACTTTATATTATTAACAGAGTTTTAAATAGGACTTTTAATAGGACATGAAAGCCATCCCAGATAGGAAGGAATTAGGGGCCTCAGCTCTCCCAGTTTCCAGGATTTATTGGTTGCCATGGTCAGGACAGTGGTTTTATCTAATCCTATAATGCCATTCTTAGTTTAAACCTATTATCTTCCTTTCTCTTAATTAAGATGGTCATGAAGTTCCTTTGCTTTCTCTTCTGCAGGTTGAGTGTTCCACATTTTTGATGCATTTGGGCCTGTTAACATTCTGAATTGTAGCTAAACAGTTGGTTGAGAGAATCCTACTGCATGATTTTAAACATTTTCCTTTTTCAAAGCAAGGATAAAATCTTATGTTTCCTCTGGGGGAAAAGCAGCTTTTTAAATCTGATAGTAAAACCGAAGCTGGTTTTTCCAGCTTTGTACCAATTCGAAATCTTAACCTTTCTTTTCTGGTTGTGCCAATACAGTGACTGGTGACCAGTAGTGAATGATGCACCAGAGCTGTTGGGAGATCCTGAAGTCTTCCTGAATCAGCAAAAGAAGGTCACATTGTATTCAGTGCAGCTTTTGGCCTTTTTAGAGTGTTTTATTGCAAGGAGTTCCCAAAAGCCAGGCGTTCCTTGAAAGCTGCAGTTTGCAGCTGAGTCACTAAGGGGTTCTTTAAAGTACGGATTTCCCAGCCCCACCTCCTGGAGATTTGATTGAGTAGAAAAGTGATGACCAAGAATTTACATTTTAAAAACCACTCTGGCCTCTATTTCCAAAAAGCTCCCCAAGTGATTCTGATATACAGCCAGGTTTGGGAGCCACTGCTGCATTGCTTTGAAATTCTTAATAAATGGTTGTCCCTTTAAAAGCATCATTATGTTATCCAGGATGTTTGATTTGCTAGAATAGCCCATTTCCTAGTCATGAAAGATAACAAAGAGCTTTTACAACTTTATGTAAATTACTTTACAGAGAGGCCCCCCTCTGCTGTATTATCTATCAGGAGTCACGAGGGAGGGTTGGTGAAAGTAGCTTCCTTTATTTCCTGAGTGGACAAATGAATGGTAATGTGGAAACAACTGGAGGTTGGACTCGGTAGTTGAATCTAGTTATGATCAGTGTTGGGTAGGAGGGGTGCCTGGGAATTCTCCGCGTGTAGGACTTAAAGCCAACTTGCCAGATGTTTCACTTCTTCATAGCTGAAGCGCTTATGGAAACTAATGGAGGCTTAATAGTCGATACAGCTTAGTCACAGGTCCTTTGCTGAGTTCACGGAAGGAAGAAAAAGTGCTGAAAGTACAGAACCATCCGAGTTAAAACAGAATCGGGCACTCGATATGTTAGGGAATTAAACTTGGGAAAAGCCTAACAGTTTAGGAAATCGACAAACCGGTTATTGAATCCTAGCTCTCCCGCCTCTTGGCCATGCTACCTCAGACCCCTTCCTTAATCTCTGTCAGCTTCATTTTCTTCATCCCCAAGATGAAGATCAAACCTGGTGGGATTGTTAGGTGGATTAAAAGAGAGAAAATATATTCTTTGAATGTTCACTTCTCCTACTTTCTGCTAGGATTTTTATTCCGAAGGCTGAAGATGTCTTTCTAAATCTGGCTTTCTCTGTAACTCTTTCCAGGAGTATCTACTCCATCAGCGCCTTCAGAGTCTATCAAAGAGTGAGGACTGAAGTTAGGAACTGGATGATAGGGGATGAGAGAGTCCTAGGACACTCAAAAATGTTTTTAGAATGAGTGGAGAATAGGCATATATCCAGAGTTACTGTCCGCAGGAATGAATTAATAATCTCTGAGTTCAGCCATGTGTATCTATCCATCTGGGTGGTAGCCCGGGCACTTCCATCAGGCCAGGAGGCTGGCCATTAGGGTGGCCCCGTGAAGTAGCAGCTGACATCCATCTCTTTCCTCATCTTCCTTTCTCCCTTTTGGTCTCTTTTGTTTCTCTTTCCCTCTCTCCTCCCTTCCCATCTTTCAAAGGGCCCTTCCTTTCGACTTGCCAGTCATGCCACAATAATCGCAGGCCAGGCCCCTGAAACTCCAGGCTAAAAGAGGTTGCTGGTTGCTAACACCTGTCTCTCAGCTAAATGAATAGGCCCTTTTGTGGGCAGGATGTTTAAAAAGCTGATTAGTACAATGCTGGCTTAAAGGACCTATTAATGATACAGCATATGTAAATCAGAGAGTGATTTAAAGCCATTTTAGAGATTTGTTTCTTATACTGGATATTTTTTATATTGGATTATGATGTTGGTTGAAATTTTATATCTAAACCATGAATTTGTTTATTGCCCAAACAGACTAATTTTTGTCATTTGATTGGGGATCATTTATATTCTAAAGAAGTTCCTATCCTTAAGGGCCTTTGTATTGTTCAGCAAATGTCTAACTAGTGTGTAATACAATTAAAGTTTTGTTCACTGTGCTGCTGACATAATTAGTTTAATTTCTGCTCCTTATATATTTCTCTTGGCAGCTGGGAAATTAAAATACTAGATGTTGCATAAAACTGCTTTTTTGAGGGGGTGATTTTACTGTCGGTTGAATGGACTTAGGCCCCAGGGTACATTTTTTAAGA